GTCTATCTGTATCTATCTATCTAACTATCTATCTATCTATCTATCTATCTATCTATCTATCTATCTATCTATCTATCTATCTATCTATCTATCTATCTATCTATCTGTCTGCCTGTCTGTCTATCTGTCTGTCTGTCTGTCTATCTGTCTGCCTGTCTATCCATCTGTCTGTCTCTCTGTCTACCTGTCTATCTATCTATCTATCTATCTATCTATCTATCTATCTATCTATCTATCTGTCTATCTGTCTGTCTCTCTGTCTGTCTGTCTGTCTCTCTGTCTACCTGTCTATCTATCTATCTATCTATCTGTCTATCTGTCTGTCTGTCTGTCTGTCTGTCTGTCTCTCTGTCTACCTGTCTATCTATCTATCTATCTGGGTTTAAACAGATCTAAATGTAAATATCTACACTCTGAACGTTTCACTGTTTTAGTGTTTTTTCACTGTGGCAGTGCAGTTTGAACTCATTTGCTATGACGGTCTGTTTAAGGTGTTTTATAACTGGGCTGTCACAACTTAACCCTGCGCAAGAGCTGATCTCCGGGGCAACGTGTGCGGGGCAAAGTGTGCAGATGCGTTTGGTACATATTCAACCTTCATGTAAAAGGATACATAGAGAAACTTCTCCAGATCTCTCAGCGTCGACTCCTCCCCTCGTGTCTATGTCAGTCGTTAGAGGAAATCAAGCTGTTTTCCAGGTCAAAGGGGAATTTAACATTAATTGAACTCGACAGATAATCAGAAATGTCCTCTAATTTTGGAAGCCGCCGAGTTGCAGCTTGCCATTAATATCTTCTTATGTGAACGTTGGCTGTGGCATTCTGCAGCCTCTGACATTTATGATTCAGATTTCAAAAGCTTGACACTAGTAAACACGCTGACTCACGGGTCATGTGACTTTAAGATGTTTATGTGTCTCTAGTTACCAAACAGTGATGAAATGATCAGAATACAACAGTAACAATGACAGGTAGAGAATAAGAGCCAGATTATCTGAGTCATTTCAGTGATCTATACTTTCTAAACTGTGTCCTCTCTGTTTATAGATGTACGTCTCTGTATGGGTCTCTGTTTAAAGGGCAAAAACGGACTTTTCTGCACTTTTCTCTGAAATTGAAGAGTTTGATGTGGTATATAAACACTTAAAGTGTCAAAACATACCGTCCGCTCCTCAATCCATGCAGCCCATATATGGAAACGAAGCTGTTTTGAATGCACCCTGTTTATGACGTCATGCAAACCATCACATTTCTATATATAGGCCTATTCAGGCTGCAGCAGTTTAGCTCCACCCATTCAAGTGAACCTGGGCAGATTTTTTGAATGAAGCACAGCCAAGCAGAACAGAGCTTATTTGCATATATCGCTCTTAAAGGCACAGTAACAAAAACTTTAAAAAAGAATTTAATTCTAAGTTTGAAACAGTTTTGAATTATGGCTCTTTTTGGTGTGTAAACATATGCAAATGTGTGAAATGCAGGAATATTGTAGGATATGGGCCCTTTAACTCAACACATGTCAAGCCTGTGTTTCAAAACTTGAAAATCACTAACAAGTTACTAAAGGTGGCATTCATAAGGCTGCACAAGAGCTACGTAAGCCTTTCACGACAAATGACACAAACTGTCATTTTTCATTTTTGGACATAATTTGAAATCACCAGCTGCCTTTTACATCGTGTCACAATTTCAAGATAAACAGACCAGCAGAAATGGTCCAAAATGACGTGCAATAAATAATTTCTCCATTAACTTCCATTAAACTTAAGAACGTTTTTTCCTTGTCCTGTAAAGTTACTGTTTTGGAGAAACGATGCTGTGATGAAAAACATTTATGAAGCATCCACAAACATCATAACACTTTCTGATGTAAAATCACATCATAATTGACAAAAACAGCCTATATGACATCGTGTTGGACTGCAGCTTCATAAATGTTTCTGTACATTTATAGAAAAAAAAGGCACCGATCTGTCACGGGGTGAAACATTCAAGGGAACGTCTTTAGTACCTTTAGTTAGGGGACATAATTGCACCTTATTCCATTAAAAATAGTTTTTTTTTAACCCCTTAATATCCCAGGCTTATTATATTCATAAGGCTTATTATAACTACAGGGACTTCAGTGCAAACTGGCTGAGCTATTCTTAGATTATAGAACTGTGTAATGAAATTTTGGCCTGTTAAGGGGTTAATCTGTTGATTTCACTCACCCTGTTTTATTTTATTGCTCTGTTTCAACACATTAGGTTATGAAAAGGTACAAATGTGCACCTTTGCCCTGGGAAAAAAAGACTTTTTTTAAAGTATACAAGTTCACAATTGGCTCACTGTAAAAATGGTTCAGTGTCTTACCTTAAAAAATTAAGTAACCTGGTTGCCATTTTCAGAAATAAAGCAGGTGCTAAATTGTCACTGGGTCAGTTCCCCTCTTGTCACTGGGGTGGAGCCCTCAAGGGTCCATCTCAGTACCTTTAGTCAGGGAACATAACTGAACCATAATCCACTGAAATGATATGTTCTAAGCTGTACTGACTCCACACGCCCCGTCTCGTCTCCAGCAGCTGCACAGAACCTTTATTTCTAACAGTGTGGGTGAACAGAACAATAATCTATGTTTTGCATCCTGTTAACTTACTATTTGAAGATCAGTGAACGTTAAGGAAACCAGCCGGATTCTGGAAATCTTTCTTTAGAAAAGACTTGCGAAGTATCTTAATACAAACTCTAACAAGTTTATAAGAATGTTCTTAAATGCAATCCTTGAAAAAAAACTATTTAAGTTTCTCAAATATTCTCGTAAGATAATCTTAATTATTTTCTTAAGATTTTCATAACAAAATCTTCATTGTTTTCCAATGTGGGCTATGTTACATTTTACCTCATACACTGAAATAAAGGTTCTGTTCAGGTAAATTTTTCATTCATCGAGGTACAAACAGTGTAAATGTTCCCTCAAAGCTCCAACAGTGGTTTTAAGGTCTGATTGTGAACCTTAAATAAGTTTTTCCAGGTGAAAAGTTCGTATTTGTACCTTTTCATAACCGAATGTTTTAAAACAGAACAGTAAAATAAAAGCCTGGAGACGAGACGGGGTGTGTGGAGTCAGTACAGCTTAGAACATATCATTTCATTATGGTTCAGTTATGTTCCCTGACTAAAGGTACTGAGATGTACTTTTGAGGGTTCCACCCCAGTGACAGTTTAGTACTTTTATGTCTGAGAGTGTAGCATAAATGACGCGAAATGGGGAAAAACATCAAACCAAATGTTTCAGAAAATACATCAAAAATTCAGCAAACAAGAACTAGAGGTGATGGAGGAAGAAACAGCCAACAGGAAAAAATGCCTCCGCAGAAAATGCGATAATTGTGGGGTGACGGTGGAAAACGGGAGAATTTGAGGAGAGGTTGAGCATCAACTCTTACAGCCTAAGACAGTGTGAGGCTGTTATATGGTCAAGAAAACATTTAAAAACATAATATTTTCAAGAATATCACCTGTTACTAAAATTATCCTTAAGAAAAGAAAAGAGAAGAATTCTTAAGAGGTTATTTGACGAATAACATTTTTGTAATTTTTTTTCTTGAGAATGAAATTAAGAAAAGCACACATTTGAGAAGATCTTCTTTCTCAGGACACTTTCATGAATCCGGCCCCTGGTTACTCACTTTAGTTAACACTGAATCATTGTTGCACCTTTGAAGATGCATTGACTTTGTACTTTGGTGAACAAAAAATGTATCTTTTTTTCTCACAGTGTAGATCAGAGGTCACTAATAGGCGGACCGCGGTCCGAGTCCGGACCCAGGCGCTGTCCTATGCGGACCTGGACCTATAACCGATAAACTATGGAGAATTATTTAATTTTGATGGGGTGGTCCTGTTTTAATCGCCGTAGCTTTTCTAGCCTTTACGGTAGCTTTAGCGTCCCGAGGAGACTCACAGACCAATCGCATGTGTTGTAAATATCACACGTGACGCTACTCAGCCAATCAGAACTGTGCATTACAATGAGCACTGAGACTCGAGTGAGTGACGCTCACACAGGGGACGAGGCGAGAAACAGCAGTCGGAGAAGAAAGTGAGTCAGAGGGAAGTTGTTTCACATGCCGTTCTCTAAAAAGAGAAAACTGACAATAAATATTGTTGAAATATGACTGAATTGTACTTTATTTGATTTGATATTCAGTTGTCGACTGTATAAGATGTTGATATACCTACTAGGCTACTTCAGTACACAGTATATGCCACTATGATGTTCTGGACCTTTGCTCGAGGATGTTTTCTCTAACTGGACCTTATTGAATTTTAATTGACTACCCCTGGTGTAGATGTTGTGTAGCCTTACGAACACTGTCCTTTAGTAACTCGCTACCAAGAGGTCTAACTGAAAAGTCTCCAAGTGAACTCACTGCCTGACCGGCTTGATCCATAAGAGAGGTTTTATTGCAGCAGATTGACTTGCTGAGGTGGTAATAACACTGTTTATTATCACTGTTTATAACCAGGCTCCACTGACATTGAGTGCAGGCGAGAGTTGAATGGCTCTTCAAACTTTTATTATCCATTGAATGGCAAAAATAAAGATTTCCCAATGCCCCCGTCCCACCCAGCCCCTTAAAGCCCCCCGTTTCACTGAGGACCAACAGAGAAGCAACATCAATAGATTCTTATAAAATTATTCTGATTTACAAAATGCATGGACATCAGGGCGTATTACGTCATCACTCGCCGCTTGAAGCTAACGTGAACACGGTTGGGCTGCTGCCGGTGCTCCGCTCGTGGTCTTCGTATGTTCTCCGGTTGCACTATGCCAATCTAGAACTCATTTCAATGCCGTTTATTGATCTATCACTTTACAGAGAACACGTCAAAAGGAAATGTGCCTGTTCTGGGGCCAAAAACTCACTATATACGTCAGGCTAACATCTCTCGTTAGAGTGTACTTGTTATATACAATGTAAACATTTACTTTATAGGTAACCACATCTTATGTATTTTTTTTTGTTATGTCGAGACACATTGTTTCAGAGTTAAATGCTGATATCCTTTACTATTATCTGGATATGGAATGTCTATGACAGTCGCCGGTAATTGCGTTTCCTTATCGGGTGGTCGTCCTCAGAGCGGCTAATTGAGAGAAAAGGTGAGGGGGGGGGGAGAAAGAATAGAACATGCATTAGTAATTAATGAGCAGTGATTTGTTATATAGACAATACTGGCTAATGCAGAGAAAATGGAGAGAGAGGGAAGAGAAATACATGCTCTGTTAATGCTGTATTCATTTTACACACTTTATTACTAATAAAGGGTTCTTTGGCTGCATAGGAACCACTTTTGGCTGCTTACAGAACCTTTGAATGGATGGTTCTTTGTGAATGAGATGCCCAACACTCACATAAAGTGTTCTTTAGCTGCATAGGAACCACTTTTGGCTGCTTACAGAACCTTTGAATGGATGGTTCTTTGTGAATGAGATGCCCAACGCTCAAATAAAGGGTTCTTTGCACAATACCATAGAAGAACCACTTTCAATTCCCTAGAGAACCTTTTCTAAAGAATGTAAATAAACAGGGTTCTTTGTGTGATGCCACAGTGGACCCATATTTGGTTTCCTAAAGAACCTTTCAACTTATCCATCTTTAGAGAACCATTTTTGGAAAATTAAAATTTAAAGGACCTCCACATAATGTAAATGTTCCAGGAAGAACCTTTCAATTGTCATGTGAAGGTTCTTTAAGGTTTTAAAAGGTTCTTTGCACTCACAAGTCTCTCTGTCAAACATGGTTCTGTAGTAAATCAAAAGTGGTTCTTCTATAGCATCATGCAAAGATCCTTTTTAAGAGTGTTGGACATCTCGTTTACAAAGAATCATCTGCTGAAAGGTTCTTTAGGGAACCAAAGTTGTTTCCTATATGGCCAAAGAACCCTTCATTTTTAAAAGTGAAGAACATTTACATCATGTTATAATACATGATCATACATTCTTAGCAAAAAGGGTTCTATGTAGTACTGAAAGGGGTTCTTTGAACACTTTTGGGTGCTGTATAGAACTATTTTAAAAGAACCATATACAACTGTTTTTTCACAATAGAAATGAACTGGTTGACCATGCGCAGAACCATTAATGCATTAGACGTAGAACCATTGCCTTTACTAAAAAGCATTTTTTAAGAGTGTAGGCTTTTTCAAGAACCTTATATTCACGCCAAGAACCATTAGGGAACCTTTACTGTTATACATGCATTCTCCAGGTTTAGAGACTCACCAGTGGTATATGGTTCAGAAGTTCATCTACAGTGAGATCGTCGTAGCTCTCCCGGTAGGTGGTCTCTCCTCCGGTGGATTCCTCCTGCTCATTGGGAGGGTCTTCTAGACTGGAAATGTATAGAAAAAGTGCATTAATATGGAAGCATGTAATAGTTAATACTCAGTTCTTTTCTCAGTCATATAACAGGCTGCACACTAAGCTTACCTTCTCTTTCCTGTTAAGACGGAGTTCAGGTACTTTTTCACAGCCATCTGCTTGCGGAAGCGACTGTAGTTGTCTGTGAATATTGCATCTGAGTGACGCTTCACTGGCGCCTGGTCTTCCATCAGATCATCACTGAAATGTGAATGTTCATATGAACAGAGCTCAATCTTTAGGAGTTAAATCAACACCAATGCTTCGATTAAACAACATAATTTTCTCATTTGAAAAGATTTTGTAATGAAAAACTTCATCAAATTCACATTTTAAATTCAAAATAATCAACAAAAGAGTCTGGCACTATGTTCTCTTCCTCACGCTTGTTGCATCTGATATTCTGAGGTCCATTACTGATGCACACACTGACAGAAGCACGGCTCTGAATATACTTGGTTCCACACAAACGCAACACGTCAACACGATTCTTGCCAAAAGTAAGTAAAACGAGGGACAGTAGTTGTGCAGATGCAATACATTTAACCCAAGTGGAACCAATGAACACCAATCAAATTCAATCTCATTCTCTTTTACAGTGTGGTTGCTGAGGAAAGCAATCCTCTATCTCTCTCACATCCCTCTATCCAAATCTGTTTCTCTTCTCCAATAAACACAGCGTTTATAAAGAACAAGGATTACGTTTGTGGGTCTAATTAGAGAGAAAAAATATTCTTTTTTGTATTCTTCTTTTTTATACTGTATCACCCTTATTATTATAACTGTGCTGTGTTGCGTGACTGATACTGGCCGCTAAATTTCCTTCGGGATCAATAAAGTATCTATCTGTTTATCTATCTCTATCTATCTATCTATCTATCTAAAAGAAGAGAACTTTCTCATCTTTTTTTGCCCCAAAGCATCTTAGCCCCACTGTATAATTACAACACACACAAAAATCGTCTAAACGTAATTCAGTTATGCGTCACATTGCCACTGACATAGTTTGTTACTGGAACATAAATTTCGGTTGATGCTGGAAACATTTCAGCTCAATTTATTTGGGTTTCTCTGAAACGGAATTCTCTTTGGATCAAAAGTTCCCATTAACTGAAATGCGTTTTCATTATTTTTATCCATTTTTGCAAACCATTTGCTTAAAGAACAAAAATAAATAGTGCGTAAAAGCGCCAAAGTGCGCCAAAGTGCGTAAAAGCGCAGAGCGCCCTACCTGACTCTCTTCCCGATCAGCGACTCCAGATAGCGCCTGGCGGACAGCTGACCCAGCAGTTTACTGTATCCACTGGTGAAGAGACCGTCCGCGTGTCTCGCAGCTCTGCAGAGGAACAGAAACGAGTTTACGAGCCGCGGCCACATCATTCACTCCCTCATTACGCCTCTGTTCAGGGTTCTCTGCGGGATTTCTACAGCAGCCCGGGCTCCGTCGTGTTCACAGTTTCCACGAGCAAAACAAGCCAACAAACCAAAACATTCTTTCCATAATCCACAATAAAAAAAACACACATTTCAGATATTATCAGAATTCTTTCTGACCACTGTAGCACAAACGTGTCTTTCACCTTCTTCGGATTGGCTTTTGATACCGTTCCGTTTTAAAGAGAGTGTATTTTAGTGTGCTGGTTAAAAAAAAGGGATTAATGCTTAAAAACCCATTTAAAGCTGCCTTTAATTGGCATTGCAGATGTGAGAGCCCAGCCTGGTCAGTCCTGAGTGCTGTAAAAAGATCCTTACCTCATTGAGGAGTAGGGTAAACTGAAAGTCCGCGAGTAGAAGATGCTGCAGAGCGCTATGAGGAGAAGCAGCTGAGATCCGTTCCTCTGTAACATCGCTGTAAACCTGCGGAAGAACAGCTCACTGAAGCCTCCAAACGCGACTGAACACAAACACTTATAAATAAAAGTTCCTGCGCTCCTGAAAAGACGGTTCTTGGAGGGCTTTTTGGTAAAGACAGCTGTTCTATAGAACCGTGAACTCTCAAAGAAACATTTGCGTGCTTGAATGGTTCTTTGCATGGTGAAATGGTTCTTCAGATTGATGGAGAACGTGTACATAGTTTGTTAAACGCCATCTGTTGCTATATAGAACCATATACAACACATTCTCCATCATTTTATCATGCAAAGAACGTGCGAATGGTTCTCTGAGTGTTAATGGTTCTGTATAGAACCACTGTCTTTACTAAAGAAGCCTTAAATTTTTTTGTCTGAACATGTAAACAAAGAACCACCAAACACATCTGCTATTCATGGCTACAGATCGGGTTTACACTCTTAAAAAGATGGTTCTTTGAAGGTTCTCGCAAACGTAATGGTCCTATAGAACCATGGACACTCAATGAACCATTTGCGTGTTTAAAAGGTTCTTCAAATTGTTGGAGAATGTATATATAGCACCAAAAAGGGTTCTGATATTGTTAAAGTTTCGTAACAATAGCAGAACCCTTTCTATACAGAACCATATACAACACATTCTCCATCAATCTGAAGAACCATTTCACCGTGCAAGTGGTTCTTGGAGTATTCATGCTTCTAAATAAATCGTCTTCACTAAAGAACCCTTGGAGAACCATCATTTTAAGAGCGCGTTACAGCCTCGAGTCTGAACATGCACGCTTGTAAATAAAAGTTACAGAACGTCCTAGAACCACCGAAATACACCTGCTGTTCTCGGCTACAGACTGAGTTTAGAAGAAGCTTCTCGGTTTGGTGAAGGAGGCAGAGGCAGATCGTGCAGGATGTTGTGACGGACAGTGAGGAGAGTGGACGCTCGGCGAGCTCTTACATGCGCTGGGCTGTGTCCGGAGGTGAGCGCTGACCGTGGTGCTGAAGAGCCAGCCGAAGGTAAAATAGCTCCAAAGTTGAGTGAAGACGCCTCCTCGGCTCTCCGGCTGACGTCTCTCTGAACGGCGTCTCCCCTCGCCCCGTTTTATATATCTGAACATTTCTCATCAAATGGGAACACAATCGGATTTGATCCGGCCTGGTACGTCATGAAAAGAGTCCCGCTGGGACTGATGCGTTCGTCATCGGCTCGCTGGCGCGCGCACAGTCCCGCGCCACGCTCAAATTAAGTTTTTGCCTTTTTGCACGCGGTGACGTTTCTCATTGTCTCGCTCGATTTCGGGGAGATTGGTTTATAGAGTTGCGATTCCACGTGTCGTTCAGGGCGAAGAGGGTCAGTGGGAGTGATTTGAGAGGGACAGGGCTTGGCTGGTGGGCTGTAATGTAAGTCTGCAGGGCTGATTACCAGCTGGAGATGTTTCTGTGGAGATGATTTGTTTGTTTGTTTGTTTGTTTGTTTCAACACTGGAGTTGATTTTGGAACAAAGCTGAATTTGAATTGCTATTTTTTGGTGAGGATCCCTGAATGAGTCAGCCTCCTTTCTCAGATGGGTTAAACAAATATACAGGCCTGCTCTTAGAAAACGATGGTTCTCCTAGGGTTCTTTTATGGGTGCTCTTATGGGTGCTTTTTCAAAAAGGTTCTATATAGAACTGTGCACAATTATGCCATGTTGTGCAAAAAAATAAATGAGTTTGAAAACTTCATTAGAAGGAACCGAAGTCATCAGGGCTTACAGTGCTAAGTTCTAGATATTAACCAGTTCACTAGTGAGGGCTACAAACTCCAAAGCACTGAAGATGATGATAAGATGATGAAAAGCGCCAAGACAGTCTAACTCAATTACACTGCAACGTCAAACAGGTTCTAGATATTAAACTGATAACAGACATAGTAAAATATCTCAATTACAAACATACATTACATGAAATATAAATGCAGTCTCCATAGATTTTCAAACAATTCCTTCATAATTCAGTGTGTGAGGTGTGAACAGAGAGATTCAGAGTGGTTTGGTGTGAAATGGTTCAGGTGTCTTTACAGTGGTGGTGTTAGGAACCAGGGGTCGCCATGACTACAACACAGATATAGACATTTTATTTACTATCCAGAACCACCAGTGAACCTACACGAGTCTTCTGAGTTTATATGGAATGTTGATGATGGAAAATAGTGGAAAATCTGAAATAATAAGTTTTATTTAGTGGCGTGGGTGGGGGGTGGGGGGGGCTTATTTGACCTCTGCACTATAAATAGAATATAAAAAATCTTTTACAGGCCAAAAATGTACAACCCCATTTCCAAAAAAGTTGGGATGCTGTGCAAAATGTATATAAAAGCAAATTTAAATGATGTGCAAAAAAGTTAAACCCTATATTTAATTGAAAATAGTACAAACTGAGAAATTCTTTTGTTTTTTGAAAAAATATATTTGCCCATTTTGAATTTGATGCCAACAACACGTTCCAAAAAGGTTGGGACGGGGGCAACAAAAGGCTAGTACAGTTGTGTAATGCTAAAAAAACACCTGGTTGTGTATTGGCAACAGGTCAGTAACATGACTGGGTATAAAAGAGCATCTCAGAGAGGCGGAGTCTTTCAGAAGTAAAGATGAGGCGGGGTTCACCACTCTGCACGATCAAATTGTGTAACAATAGTGCAACAGACATGATTCTGTAGTGGAAATTGCTGCATGGGCTCAGGAGCACTCCTGAATACCACTGTCTGTGAAAACGGTTCATCACTGCATCCACAAATGCAAGTTAAAACTCTAAAACGCAAAGAAGAAACCAAATATAAACAGGATCCAGAAATGCTGCCGCCTTCTCTGGGCCTGAGCTCATTTAAAAGTGGACTGAGGTGAAGTGGAAAAGTGTCCTGTGGTCCAACGAATCAACATTTGAAATTCTTTTCGGAAATCATGGACACTGTGTCCTCCGGGCTAAAGACCACTCAGCTTGTTATCAGTGCACAGTTCAAAAGCCAGTATTCATGATGGTGTAGGGGGGCATTAGTGCACATGGTATGGGTGATGTGCACATCTGTGAAGGCACCATTAATGCTGAATGATATATACATGTTTTGGGAACATATGCTGCCATCCAGACAACGTCTTTTTCAGGGAAGGCCTTGATTATTTCAGCAAGACAATGTAAAACCACATTCTGCATGTATTTCAGCAGCATTTCTCCGTATTAAAAGTCCAGGTGCTAAATTGACCTGCCTGCAGTCCAGACCTGTCACCACTGAAAACATTTGGCACGTTATAAAATGAAAAATACGACAAATGAGCCCCTGAACTGATGAGCAGCTGAAATCCTGTATCAAACAAGAATGAGAAGACATTAGTCTTTCTGAACTACAGCAGCGTCTCCTCAGTTCCCAAACACTTACAGAGTGTTGTTAAAAGAAGAGGTGATGAAACTCAGTGGTAAACAGGCCCCCGTCCCAACTTTTTTGGAATGTGTTGTTGGCATCAAATTCAAAATGAGCAAATATTTTTCAAAAACAATCAAATTTTTCAGTTTCAACATTTGATATGTTGTCTTTATAGTATTTTCCTTTAAAAATATGGTTTACATGATTTGCAAATCATTGCATCCTATTTTTTACATTTTGCACAGCGTCCCAACTTTTTTGGAAATGGGGCTGTAAATAAGACTGTCATAAAACAGTGTCTCAGTCATCAGGCAGTGAATTCAGAACCATTTCATGTAGTAACTTTCTGTGAGGGAGCTTTTAGAGGTGGACGTCTGGTTCCTATCACCACCACTGTGAACAATTCTGACACGGTAAGTTTCTCTAGAACAGAGCGTTTCACACCAAACCACTCTGAACGACTCTGTTTACATCTGAACTATTTAATTATCCAGAGATTTTGAAAAAGGGTGGAATTTCCCTTTTTCTGGGAGGGCTTTACACTAGATGTTGAACAGTGCTGTGAGGATTTGATTGAGCATTAGTGAGGTCAGGTACTGTTGCTGGATGGTCAGTTCTGGGTCACTCCAACTCATCCCAAAGGTATTGGATTCTTGGTATTGGAGCTTCATCACTCCAGAGAACACAGCTCCACTGCTCCACAGCCCAATGCTGGGGGGGCTTTGTTCCCTTCTATCCCACACCTGGCATTGACCTTAGGCTCAGGTGACCCCAGGCTGCGCCAGAGTGTCCCATTCTATTGGACAGTGCTTTCCTCAGAGAGTATACAAGCTGTGTCAGCAATGGGACCTTAAAATAGCTGAAGTTACTCATTAGAAGGGCCATCTGGACACTTTTGGACAGTTCTCCTCCACCTGTAGGCCATAGTCAGTCTTTCCGTACACTTCTACTACCTGCTCCTCTTTCTGCTCCCTCTTTCTTCTGCCTCCCTCTTCTCTATTGATTCCTCCACGTGAACATGCTGGTGTCTCCCCTTATCTATGATAAGAGCTTTTGTAATGGAAGGTGAGTGCAGTTGACAGGTGCTCTCACTCAGTGAGCGTCAGGCATATTTGCTGCAAACTCTCGTTTCCAATAACAGCTGTTTCATACCGAGCAAAAGTCAGAGACCACATTCATTTATTTAATTTACAATCAAATTAGCTATTAAGCACAAGAACTCTAATCTCAGCATCATGAAGAGAACACTCCTGCTCAGAAAAGTCATCAAAATTCATAGAGCACAATTTAAGCAACAGAACACGAGAGGGAGTGTGTTATCGCGAAATAACATCACAGCTGTGATTTGGTCGCCGTAGATCATCACAGCCATCTTGAGTAAATTCCCAAACTGTCATCACCACTGAGCAGCTTTTCAGTCGGCAGCTGTGACAGAAGAGCAGCTAAACAACCTGGAATCAGCCAGAAATGAACCCAACACCATTCGCCAAACTAAATGGGCTGTAAGATGCTTTACAGACTGGCTGGAACAAAACAACATTAATACTGATCTGGCAAAAACTAACTAAACTAAGCTGAACTTGATATTGTGTCAGTTTTATGGCTCAGTCTGATTTGGTCAGACTCTGAAGATCAGACTACACGTTTGGTGAATGGTATTGGGTTCATTTCTGGCTGATTCCAGGTTGTTTAGCTGCTCTTCTGTCACAGCTGCCGACTGAAAAGCTGCTCAGTGGTGATGACAGTTTGGGAATTTAGTGTCGTCTCATCTTCAGAGTCTGACCAAATCGGCTGTCGGTCAAATGTGATCTTAAAAGTGTCCATTTTCTGTTTGTGGCAAAGTAAGAAGTACAAACGTTCAAACAGCTTGAGCGTCTCCTACGGCTGTCAATGCTGTTGCTTAGCAACAGCGTCTCAGTGGAGTGATACAGTGTTTGTGAAAAACGTGTGATGTTATGGTGAAATAACAGCACGATTAAAATGCCTCTCAACCAATCAGTTCGCGTGGCTGGAACTAACTATTGTATAAACTTACATTTAGCATACAGCGATGTTGCTTAATAGCAATAAAAAAGAGCAAGTTGAAGAAGTTTTATCTGTATTTTATGGTAATTGTGTCTCTTTTATAACAGTATTGCTAACAAAGTGGATACAATAACATATAATAAATGGTCATAGTACAGTTCCAAAGCCCCTGTAAACATGTCTGAATCAAACGTTTTTGATTTTGTTTTAATAGTAAAACCCGCTTCCTTTCTCAGAACTGTATGGGTGTGTCAGATCACATAATGGTATACTTAACCATTTTGTGGTCCAGTTTCAAAAGATTCTGCATTAGTGGCACTAATGAATGAGGAGGGTGGGCCAGGCCTTTCTCAGGATAGTGAGGATGAACGCACTAGATAGGATAACTTACTGGTGCAAGCAGAACTCCCTTATTTTAAATCCTGTTAAAACAGGGGAGATTATCCTTGGAATGATCAGGCATAACATTATGACCACCTGCTTGTTTCTGTGCTCATTGTCCATTTTATCAGCTCCACTTACTATATAGGTGCACTTTGTAGCTCTACAGTTACAGACTGTAGTCCATCTGTTTCTCTGATACTTTGTTAGCCCCCTTTTACCCTGTTCTTCAGTGCTCAGGACCCCCATGGACCCTCACAGAGCAGGTACTA